TGACCAACATACCGGAGCCGTCACGGTGGAAGGAGGGTGGCACAGAACTTGTAGGCATGATTCCCCCTCTCCCCTCCGACATGTCCTCGGTAGAGAAGACCCGTGTTTTCCAGCGCTGCGCACAGATTCTCGTGGCTCTGCGTGCTGCTGTTGGTTGTCTATAATGGTGCTTAAATGGTAATGCTGTGTATCATGCTTTGGTTATTTTCCCTTTGCCCGCGTCAGGTGGTACGTTCAACTGCGTGAGGAGACCCCCCCTTCAACTCTAAGAACCCCCTCTGCGGCCACCTATTTCTCAACTACCGCGCGTTTCTCGGCGTCAGAGCATAGGGGCATGATGCAGATCATGCCCCTGATTGTGCACCTCCCAGGCAGGGAGGACATTGCCAGGGCCGTGGTGAGGTGGACAGAGTGGTACAAGGCGAGTATACGTGTGGAGTCACACACAGATGCGACTCTACAGGTCATGCAGCGCAGCACACCTGAGTGAGTCGCAACTGTGGGTCCAGTTGCATGTTGTGCTAGCAATGGAGGACCGTTTTGATTGTTCCCTCCCTCCCCCTCTCCCTTCTACCCGGATGTCCGATTGGTTTGTTCAGGCTGATGCACATGTTGGAGGACACCTTTCCTAATCAGCGGTCCCGTTGGCAGCTCATCAAGGTGCACGATCTTGTGCACCTTCCCGATACCATTCGGGCTCGCGGGATGCCTTTCCACTACTCCTCCAACAGATACGAGCACAGTCACATGACGTTTGTGAAGCTGCCAGCTCGTGGGACAAACTGGCGGAACGTGACGGAGCGCATCGTTAGGCGGAATGTGCAGATGGCGGCGATCCGGGCAGTGGCGCGCGACTATGGGGGTGGCCCCATATACGAGACTGCTATGCGCGAGGTTTGTGGTGGGGTCTGAGGAGGAGCGGGGGAAGGAGTGTCCGGAGTTGGAGTGCGAGGATAGGTGTGCGGCATAGGATTACAGGGGTTTGTATGGCAACGGAGATGTGGAGGAGCTTGTGCTAGTGGTGGTGATGGTGATGGGTGGTGCTGCGATCGGGGAGAGGTGGATGTGGAATGAGAATGTGGTGAAGGAGGGAGATGGTAGTGAGGAAGAGGAAGAGGAAGAAAAAGTGGAGGAAGAGGAGTTAGATGATGGGGGGGAGGATGTAGAGGAGGAAGGAAGGCGAGCGATGGAGAGAGAGAGGTGAGGAGGGCACAGCCACGGCAGGTCAATGGGGAAGGCGAAGAGGAAAGAAGTAATGGGGATGGGAAGGCGAGTTCTGGAGCGAAGAGGAGATAGCTTGTGTTGAGTGGTAGTAGGGTGAACGGTGTCGCTGCGAGGAGGGAGATAAGGTGGTGTCATATGACAGACTATGCTGGGAATGAGAGGAGGGGGAATGATGGGGCTGAAAGGAGGAGCAGCGAACTAGTTTCAAACGTAAGGTGCTGTTGAAGGGAAGAAAGGCTGCAGCTGTGTGTTGGTTTAAAAAGAGGAAGGGACAAGAGGAGCAGTAGCAGGGGCATAGTATAGGAGGCAGATGCAGTAGGCAATGCTGGAGACAGTTAGGGAGGAGTATGTATGATGGATTGGGTGGCGTAACGGGATTCAGGAGGCGGTTGAGGCGGGTTTTGCAGAGGGCAGAAGGCAGAACAGGTGATGAGAAAGAAGGTTACGCTTGAACCGGAGGGAAACCTGAGGGGAGGAGAGGGGATATCTTTGATTCAACAGTAAAGGAGAGAATGAGGAGGAAGAATTGGGGATAGAGGGAGCAAGGGACGGGTGGGTGAAGCGGGCGGGAGGAGAGGGAGGGAAGGGAGAGGAAGGATGGAGGGGAAGAGAGGCTGAGGATGGAATGGAGGTTGCGTGGTAAGGCGAGGAGGGGAGCGGAGGGGTATGAAGGGAGGGAGGGTTTTAGCGATGGGGTATATGGGGGGGCTTATGAGGGGGTATGCGGAGGAGTATGCTGGGAGCCTAGGAATTCATGGCCGTGCTGCGGCAGGCCCTTGCAATGCTGGCCGAGGTGTTTGCAGTTGGGGATGCTGGCCCACAGGTACCCTACATTCTAGCCCTAACCAGAGGATGTGGTAGGGGCTGATGGGAATGGTTGTGCATCTGCGTGGCGGGCTGCGTTTTCCGTGCCGAATTGCCGACACGTTGTAATTGCTTGCACCTGCTGCAGGCCATGTGCACGATGCCTCAAGGGTGGCACGAGGGGGAACCTTTTTCTAACCTCCCTAAAGCCCTCCCCCCTACCACCCCTGTAGGGGCTGACCGCATGGCCCGTGGGCTGTGTACTCTTGGCATTGGCTGTTTGAGAATCCCATGGGGTGCCTATTCCGTGCTTGTTCCTGTGTTGTTCCTGGACCACTCCCCCCCGAACGCCACTCCCACCTGGTCACGGGGGGATCTATAGGCTGTTGAGAACGACTGCCGCGTGCTCACACGCACATCTCGGAGGATGCGGATCGGGGATATGGCATGCGGGGTTTGGCGGGAGTATGTGAGGGTCGTCGGAGGCACTGCCATGGACCGTCTCGGTCCCTTGCTGCAGAGGCATGCCCCAGGCGTCTCTAGTGTGCAGGTGCGTGTCCGCTGGCGGTGGTTGGCCTAGTTCGAACACATCTGTGCCCCCTAATCAGGTGTTACCAATACGATGTAGCCTCTGCCTTCCTTGAACAGCACTCGTTTTGCTGTTTGCCTGCTCAGGTGCACACCGCGCTAGCCATTCCACCGCATGATCGCATGGAGTGGACTTCGGCTGGCCAGTTTGTGAAGGCCAGCCCAATGCAGGGGGTGTTCAACCCAGTGGCCGTGCGGTCTGGCGGGGCACGGTGGTATGCTCGGGCCCTGGTGCTGTTTCATTGTGAGGACGGTGAGGGAGAGTTGATTCGGCGGGCTCTAATCCAGTACTTCACCCAACTTCCAGCTCCGTGCCCGCAGACTGGTTGTGTACGCCTGACCCCCACAGTGGGACTGGACGCGTACTCTATTGTTGACGTGGACACCATTTTTTGCAATGCCCATGTTGTGAGGAGTGTCATTGATGCACGTGTCTACCTTGTGAACAAGTTTCTGTTTTGAGCATGAAATTCACTAGACTGCTTTCACTAGAACACTTAAGTATTCAGTAGGACAGTGTACTGCTGTTTGACAGTACCTTCTGCAACCTCACTTGTACAAGAATTTTATGTTGCCTTGAATTTATGTGTTCGTGTAGCTTGTTTCATGTTGAGGATATACGGTTGGCCTGGCCTTCAATCAAGATCCGGGGCCAGTCCAAATACAGTCTCAGCTGTAGACAGGGTGTGGGCGGTTTTTGGGTGGGAGGTAGACTGACCGCGTTTGGGGATGGCCTTTGGACCGCGAGAGGACCGTTTTAGGACTGTTTCCGCCCATGTAGGCTTGTGGGACGGATTGTGGGACCTCGGATTTTGGTGATGTGGGACAAAATCGTCCGCGACCGGGCCGCGGGCTGCGTGGAGATTAAGTACCGCGGCGTGGAGTGCCCTAGCAACGGCACCTTCGCGGTACGGGTGATGCCGGGGAGCAACCCTTACTGGTTCGCGATTCGGATTCTGGGCGTGGTGGACGCGGTGGAGAAGGTGGAGATCTCCAAGGACGCCAGCAGCTGGACGAGCCTGCGCGCCATGGGAGAGAGCGCCACGTGGGTGCTGGGGTCCGGCGCTGAGAAGATCGTGGGTGTGGGAAGGACGGTGAGCGTGCGCGTGACAGAGGTGGCCCAGGCCGGGTAGCAGCTGGTGCTGCAACTTGTGAATGTGATCCCGGCCAAGTGGAGCGCCGGGATGACCTACGAGTACACCGTTATCATCTAGTAACGATATGGCTTATAACAGGGAAGTTTGGGAAGTTGAGCGCGCGGCGGTGGGGAGCGGAGCAGGTGGGAAGACCTGCGAGAGTACCGGCAACTTCACGCTTCACACAGGCGTTGAGTGGAGTCGTTTGGGGCATAAGTGATTAGTCTCAACCTGCTTTGAGATGGAGTTATTGGCCAACTGGTAGAGGTATTGACCTTGCACTGAATAAATGCATGCCTTGCTTATGCTGAGTCTATGCCCTTTGTGTGCAATTTCTACTTTTGACAGTGAAATTTCTTATTTCCAACAGAACTTCGGAATCAGAGGCAGCACAGCAGCACTCCACACCTTGTTATGCGTTAGTCCCTCGGTTGCACCAAGGGTGAGAGAATTTTCTGTCAATGTCATCTACAAATTTTAGGGTTTAGGAATGGCAACTTTCAGGTGTTTTTGTGCCATTAACAGGCGAAGCACGACCATGAACAGGCTGATTTTATACGGTGGTCTTGTTAGGACTTCAGGTATAAAAAACGGCCGGGTTGTGTACATCCCTGTACGGCCATAATCTGGCTGTGAGCAACGGTATTGGTAGCAGGGCTTCAGATTGGATTTTGAGGGACTGTTGGCTCAGGGTGCCCCCAGAAGGAGCCCCCGTTTGTCAGGGTCGGATTTTGGAAGTTGCAATTTTTAGAGTGGGTAGGATTTTAACCTAGCACATTATGATAGATAGGGCATGTTTTGTCAGACCAAAAAAAAAATGCCTGACTCATATTGCGTGATATTGGCGAAGGACCAATTACGCCCCGCACATCTGCTCCAACTCACGTTACCTGCGTCATTTTGCCTAAGGTCCAGTCACGCCCCTCACACCTGCTCCAGCTCGCGTCAAATTGCCTGCGTGATTTTGGCGAAGAACCTATCACGCCCCTGACATGTGCTCCAGTTTGCGTCACCTGCGTCATTTTGGCGAAGGACAAGACACGCCCCTCACAGCTGCTCCAGCTCGCCTCGACCAGTCAGATAGAATTCTCTTTTAGGCTGGAAATCCATTAAGGCTGATAATTCAGGGTGACCAAAACAACATGTCAACTTATACATATTAGCTATGTACAAGTTATAGGCTAGACTGAGGTATGCTTCTAGTATTTGTTCTAGGTTTCAACTTCTAGTCAACCATTCAGTTCTTACTTTAACATGGTATCACGTGTAGGTTAGCATCCCCCACCTACCGCTTCCGCCCGTACCCTAGCTAGGCCCCGTCGCGCCCATCCTGGGCCCCGTCGCGCCTCCTGGCCCCGTCGCGCCCCTCCTGGTCCCCGTCGCGCCTCTAGCCCCGTCGCGCCCCTCCTGGGCCTCGTCGCGCCCCTCCTGGGCCCCGTCGCGCCTCCTAGCCTCGTCGCGCCCCTCTTGGGCCGCGTCGCGCCTCCTAGCCCCGTCGTGCCCCTCCTGGGCCCCGTCGCGCCTCCTAGCCCCATCGCGCCCCTCCTGGGCCCAGTCGCGCCCCTCCTGGGCCCCGTCGCACCTCCTAGCCCCGTCGCGCCTCCTAGCCCTATCGCGCCCCTCCAGGGCCCCGTCGCGCCTCCTAGCGCCCCTCCTGGGCCCCGTTGCGCCTCCTAGCCCTGTCGCGCCCCTCTTGGGCCCCGTCGCGCCATGCTTGGCCCCGTCGCGCCCTGCCTGGCCCCGTCGCGCCTGCCTGGCCCTGCCGCGCCTGCCTGGCCCCGCCACGCCTCCCTGGCCCCGCCGCGCATGTCTGGCCCCGCCGCGCCTGCCTGGCCCCGCCGCGCCTGCCTGGCCCTGCCGCGCCTGCCTGGCCCCGCCGCGCCTGCCTGGCCCCGCCGCGCCTGCCTGGCCCCGCCGCACCTGCCTGGCCCCGCCGCGCCTGCCTGGCCCCGCCGTGCCTGCTTGGCCTCTCCCATTGCCCGCCCGGCCCATCTTCGTGCCTGCTCGTTCTGCCGTGCCACCTTGGGCTCCGTCTACTCTGCTCGCCAGTGCTGGGGCGCCTCGCGGCCGCCGTGGTGGAGAGTGATGCCGCCGTGTCCTTGCGTCGCTGTGTTCCTGTAGAGCTGTGCCGCTGACCCTGCACGATGGCTGACTTCGTGCACCGACTAGACGCCGAGGGCCATGCGGTTGACTTCGCCGCCTGGCTCTCCGATATCCGCCGCCACCTTACAGGTCAGCGCCAGGATGGCCACTCTTTGGTTGTCCATGTCGATGGCTTGCTCCCCTGCCCCCCTGCCCCTGCTCCCCTCCCTGCTGATCCCTCCTCTGATGACCGTGAGGCCTTCTCTACTGCTGCGCTTGCCTGTGCGGTCTGGGACTCCCGCTATGCAGTAGCTCATGTTGCTATTAAACGCGCCCTCCCTATGTCTGAGCGCTCGCGTTTTGCTACTGTTGAGACGGCCAACGCTTACTTAGACGCCGTTATTACTCGCTATTCCACACCCGCGTCTGCCTCTGCTGGCCGCTTGCTCTTCCCGATGATGTTCCCAGACCTTGCAGCCTTCCCTACCGTCGCAGACTTTGCCACTCACCTGCGTGCCCTAGAGACCAGCTATCGCACTGCCAGCACTGCTGCCCAGCTCACTGCGCCCCCCCCCCCCCTTTCTGCATGACGCTCTATTTTATCGCCATGCGCCTGCCAGACCGCCTCGCTAGTGCTCGCGATCACTTCCTTAGCCAGCACCCGGGTGACCTCACCCTCACCACCTTTGTCGACACCCTCACCGAGATTGAGACTCGTCAGCGGACTATCGCTCAGTCGAGCGGTGCGCCGGCAGTCTCTATCTTTCACGGCTGTGCCCCCTCCCAGTGCACATTCACTGGCGTTTCGGCTGCGGTCGCCACGGTGACCCCTCTCACCGAGACGGCTGCTGCGGTCCACCCGCAGCAGCGCTCGCGCCACGGTGGCCGTGGTCGCCAGGGAGGTAGGGGTGGTGGCGCAGGTGGTGGTGGTGGTGGTGGTGGTGGTGGTGGTGGTGGTGGTGGTGACGGTAGTCTGCCTGCGCGGACTACCACTGATCGGCAGGAGCAGCAGCCCCAGCCGCAGCAGGAGCAGCCCCAGCCGCAGCCGCCACCCCAGCAGCAGCCGCTGTCCCAGCACCAGTCGCCGCAGCCGTGGGCCCAACTCCCGCCTGGCTGGCCCGGCACCTCCGGAGGTGGCGGCCGTGGTGGCGGCCAGCGCAGCTTGGCGTCTACCGGCGGCTCCGGTGCTGTCACCTGCCAGTACCAGCTTCAGACCGGGCCTCTTCGCGGCACTCTGTGCCGCCGCCCGCACTTGACCGCCCGCTGTTTCCGCCGCCTCGATGATCTCTTTCGTCGTCGCTTTGGCCCGACCCCGGACCTCCCCGACTGGCACAGCCTGCTCCGCCAGGGCGTGCCGATCTTTGAGTTTGACATGGGTCAGATAGGTGCTGCTTTGCATGCTTTGTATTCTGACGTTTCTAGTGTTGCTGGATCTTATTACCCTGTGTACTCTAGTTTAGGTGTTGCACCATTGTGTAGCTTAGCCTCCCCTGCTGCGTCAGGCGTAGGACTGCCTAGCTTGCCTAGTCTAGTCGCTGCACCGGCTCCGTCCCCGGCCTCCGCCACTGCTTCGCTGTCCTTCACTCTCGACTCCGGTGCTTCTGCCTGCTTCTTCCGCGACCGTTCCACGCTCACGCCGCTTGCTGCGCCTGCTGTTGTCTCTCTCGCTGACCCCTCTGCTGGTCCTGTCGTCGCTCGCAGTTCTACGTCCCTTCCCTGTCCAGCAGTTCCCTCGGGCTCCCTTACAGGCCTCCACGTTCCCTCGTTCTCCAGGAACCTGGTTGGTGTCGGCTGTCTCCAGGACCTCAGCGTCACCACCACATTCCCTGGGCAAGAGCGGTTCGCTGTCTAATCTGAGGCTGTCTCAGGTTCCCCCCTTGCGACGTTCCCCCGGGACCTGGTGTCTGGTCTGTTTACCCTAGACACCGCTTCCCCCCCGGCTGGTGCGTCCTCCCAGGTCGCTGCAGCTTGCTCGTGTCGGTCCCTCACTCACCCGTCCCTTCTCTGGCACCACCGCTTAGGTCACCCTGCTCTCCCGCGTCTGCGTCACATGTCCCAGCACGGTCTTGTCTTAGGTCTCCCCGCGTCGCTCCCTGCCCATCCTCCCTCGACTGCGCCACCGTGCACGCCTTGCGTCAAGGGTCGGCTCCGCCGTGCTCCTCACTCCTCCTCGCGGCACCCTGCTACTGCCCCCCTTCAGACCCTACACCTGGACGTTTGGGGCCCTGCCCCCGTCCCTGGACCGCGCGGTGAGCGCTACTTCCTTGTGGTCGTCGACAACTACACGCGCTACACTACGGTGTTTCCCCTGGAGCGGAAGGCTGACGTGCCCGACGTTCTTCTCCCGTGGGTTGTGGCTGCGCGTCTCCACCACGGTCTTCCCGTATTGTGTCTCCACTCTGACCGTGGCGGCGAGTTCGCCTCTAGTCGGCTTGGACAGTTCTGTCGTGCGGAGGGCATCACCCAGTCGTACACCTTGCCGGACTCGCCACAGCAGAATGGGGTTGCTGAGCGTCGCATCGGCTTGGTCATAGAGGTCGCCCGTACCTCCATGATTCATGCTGATGCCCCCCATTTTCTGTGGCCGTTCGCTGTTCGCTACGCTGCTCACCAGCTTAAGCTGTGGCCCCGCTCCCAGCGGCCGCAGGTTTTGCCGACCCTCCTTTGGACCGGGTCCTCCGGTGACGCGTCTGCGTTCCATTTCTGGGGCTGCCTTGCTCGCGTTCGTGCCTCTGGCACGGACAAGCTCACTGCCCGCACAGTCCCCTGTGTCTTCCTCGGTTTCCCCCTGGACTCGTCTGACTGGCTTTTCTACCACCCGTCGTCTCACCACTTCCTCCACTCTCGTGACGTCACCTTTGACGAGTCTGTCTCCTTCTACCGCCGCTTCCCTCACCGAGGTCTCCCGGTTGCCCCTCCCCTGTTCCTAGCTCCCTCTCCCCCTGTAGCCCCTGCTCCTCTCCTGCCTCGTCCTGCCCCGTCTGGTGTCTCTCACGTCACTCCCCTCCCGTCGGTTGTCCCCGTTGAGGAGTCTGCGGACTCTGGTGGTCCCCCCGGCCCGTCCCTGCTGCGTCCCCCTTCCCCGGTGTCTCCGCCTTCCCTGCCGCAGTCGCCGTCGCCACCGCCGCCGCCGCTGTCGCAGTCGCAGTCACTGCCACTGCCGCAGCCACCGCAGCTGCCGTCGCCGCCGCCGCCGCTACCGCCGTTGGCCTCTTGGGGTGCTGGCATTGAGGAGGGTGTTCGTCCTGTGGCTCCCGGGGGTGCCGGTGGAGTTGGAGGGGGTTCTTGCTCTAGGGGTGTTGGTTCTGGGGGTGCTGCTATTGAGGGTTCCACCGACAGTCGTCCTGCCTCTGCCAGTCGGAGGGTTCCGGCCCAGCTGTCGCAGCAGCCGTAGCAGCCGTCGCCGCCAGTCTCCGCTCTCCGCTTGCTCGGCCTTCCCTCCCTGGACCGCTCGCCGGTGTCTCCCCCACCGCCTGCTGACCTTCCTGTCTACGGTCCTATGTTCCCGCCGCCAGACTCGTCTCCGGCCCGTCTCCCTCCTCATTCCCCTCCTGTGTCCCCTCTGCTGTCCCTTGACCCTACACCTCCGTCCCACGTTTGGTCTGGCCGTCCCTCCCGTGCTCGTCCCGTCTCTCCTATCCTGCGCTCCCACCCTATGTTGCCCCGTTCCCACTCGTCTCATCCTCGTGTCCCCTCCTCCCTCGTCCCTTGCTGTTGCACCTCCTCTGTTCTCTGACTACCTCCGTGCCGCTCGTCCCCTTGTCCCTCGGGTCCTTGCCTCTCTTGTTACCGACCCTTCTGTTCCTGTCTCGCGCCTTGACGCGCTTGTCGCTGCTGTCGCTGACTTCGCCTCTACCCGCCGCCTTGACTACGCTACCGCTCTGGTCTCTGACCCTGCCCGTCCTCCATCCGTCGGGGGTGCTCCTGCCCTTGGCAGTGGCGTCCTAGAGGACAGGCAGTACGAGCTTGCTTTCCTTTCCCAGGCTGCTCCCCATCTCTACTCCATGCTGTTAGTCCCTGAGGGTGACCCAGACGCCTTCGACATCCCGAACCCTCGCACCTACGCTGAGGCCACCTCGGGACCTTGGGCCTCTCGGTGGATAGCTGCCATGGAGCAGGAGATGGCATCTTGGAGGTCCACCTGCACTTACGTCGACGCAGTTCCCCCGCCTGGGGTGAATGTAGTCGATGGTCGGTGGCTCTTCAAGGTGAACCGCCCCCCTGGAGAGCTGCCTGTATTCAAGGCGTGCTACGTGGCCAGAGGTTTCAGTCAGCGAGAGGGGGTTGACTTCTTCCAGACCTTTGCCCCGACCCCGAAGATGACCACTCTTCGGGCGCTGCTATTCGTAGCAGCACAGCGCGACTACGAGCTTCAATCCCTCGACTTCTCTACTGCCTTTCTCCAAGGCAGCCTACACGAGCAGGTCTACCTGTGCCGACCACAGGGCTTCACTGGTACCTTCCCCCCTGGGACCCAGTGGCTTCTCAGGCGCCCGGTCTACGGCCTGCGTCAGGCTCCTCACGAGTGGCATAACACGCTGTGGGCCACGTTAGCAGACCTGCAGTTCTTTCCGTCCTCTGCTGACCCCTCGCTGTTTGTGCGTTCCGACCAGACTCAGTTCTACATCATTGTCTTCGTAGACGATCTGGTCTTCGCTACTGCTGACAGGGACGCACTGGCCTCTGTGAAGGCCGAGCTTCTGAAGAGACACACCTGCACTGACCTTGGAGAGCTGCGTCACTATCTTGGCCTGCAGATCGCTAGGGACAGAGCAGCACGCACCATCACTCTGACACAGTCACACTTGGTGCGTCAGGTCCTTCAGAGGTTCGGTCTTCCGTTCTCCTCCGCACAGCCCACACCTCTACCTGTAGACCATGGGCTCTCCGCTCCCGTTCCTCAGGAGCCAGTAGAGCCTAGTGGCCCCTACGCAGAGCTGGTGGGTTACCTCAGCACTGGTCTGCCGCTAAGAGGGTTTTGCGTTACCTTGCTAGTACATCGGGCATGGGGTTAGTGCTAGGAGGACGCAGGCCAGTGGTCCTTACTGGGCACACAGACGGTTCTTGGCCAGACGACTCTGAGACGCTCAGGTCATCGCAGGGCTACTGTTTTAGCCTTGGTTCGGGTGCTATCTCTTGGAGATCCACTCGCTCGTCGTCTGTGGCTCAGTCTAGCTGTGAGGCTGAGATCTACGCGAGTGCCATGGCGGCACAGGAGCTCCGCTGGCTTACCTTCTTGCTCATAGACTAAGGTGAGCGGCCTAGCTCTGCCCGGGTCCTGTACGCTGACAACAGGGCCATGATCCTCCTGTGTCAGGAGCCTCGGCTTGAGGGCAGAGCGAAGCATATCCAGCTGCGGTACTTCCTCCTGCGCGAGCTACAGCAGCGCCGCCAGGCCCGCGTAGTTCACTTGGCCTCAGGTGCCAACACAGCTGATATCTTTACTAAGGCGCTTGCGCCTAAAGATCATCAGCGGCACTGTGTACAGCTTGGTCTTGTTCCTGTAGCTACCCACCTGTTAGGATCCTGATTGTGTACTCTCTATTATATATACCTGTCAGACTGGCCTTGTGGCCTTACCTCCAGTGGCTGGACTAGTAGTACCGCCCTGTCTTGCTTTAGTTTTGTTTGTATGCTTGCTGACTGGTCTCCAGACCCCTGCCTCAGTGGTTGGACTAGTAGTGCCACCCTGAGCTGTTTGCTTCTTGCTTAGCTTCACCCCTTGTCTAGCCTAGGGGGTGTGTCAACTTATACATATTAGCTATGTAGAAGTTATAGGCTAGACTAAGGTATGCTTTTAGTGAGTACAACCAACTAGTATTTGTTCTAGGTTTCAACTTCTAGTCAACCATTCAGTTCTTACTTTAACACAACATACAATATTTCAGGCCCTCTCAAATGACAACCCCTAAAATTCAGGCCTAGGAAAAATCAAAAGCTGAAAAAACAGGACGACCCTAAAAAAACACCC